TAAAGATCCGGCCTTACTAGCTGAAAAGCATAGGTCGCCGGCGATGGCCACAGGAGGGAGGAGAAAAAAGGAAAAAAGGAAAAAGGAAAAAAAGAAAAGGAAAAGAAAAGAAAGTAAAAAAAATATATTTAAATTTTTTGACTAAAATGCCCCTTCTCCAATGCCGGATTAGTCACCGATTGGCTAAAAGTCATCATTTGAGATGATATTAATAAGCCACTTCAAGTCTTTATTGAGACAAAGTACATTTTATGTCCTTATTTGAGAAAATGAAAGCATTTTAGATTTTTATTTGAGATTTTTTCAAAATAAAATAAATTTTTTTGTTTTGAAAAGAGTGCCTTCGCATTAAAGTCAAAAGGCAATCTCTTTTGAACTCGCACCCGCGAACAAGCATTCCCGCCAGCAATTCAGCAATCGCAACGGCAAGATAAAGACACGTGCTTCACATCACAAGATCACGTGCATGCCAGCCGTTGATCTTTGTAATTCATCCAAGAAAAAATAATAAGCACGTGGCCACGACAGGCAGCTAAGTTGACTACATGTTATTCAATGCCTATCGTTTTATAAACAGATTTTTTTTTTTTGGGCACACCCACAAGTATTTGTCGGGTACCATATTTTGCGTTGAAAATGTAACAAAATGCGCTAGCATACGACATTTATAGCGATGAATCGATTTCTCCAATGACCATAGGAGCTCTCGTTTTCCATTCTAAATTATCGGCTCGAATTTTGCATTTTTTTTTTTTATCGATCTAGAGTTAACGGATAATGATTTCATCGTAGCCCCTTTTTAACTTTATAGTAGAGGTGGGGTGTTCTTGAGCACCGTGTGGGGTGATCAAAGGTCGGAGTAGTGTTAAAAAAGAGTCAAAAGCCCAAAAAAGGTTGAATGAAAAAGTGACGAGATTAGTCAAAAAAGTAGTACTTAAGCAATGATTTGTAGTAACTAATCCATCCAATCTTACCTTTAATTATGTAAAAGAGCCGAATGTAGCTTTGGTACGCTATCAATTTCGCCTCGTTATTTGGAGAATGTCTTCACACGATATAATCATGGCAAGAACTATCGAAGATGCCACTTCCTTCTCGAAGTCAATAATTAGAAGGACTCGAGTGCGTTTCTTATAACTGAAGGGTGTCTTCGGGTTTCAGTTTTACTTTCCATATTTTGCTTTCCTTTTCGAATTCTACCGCTCATACATTTCGGTATTTATTAATAAAAATTACACGAATCCTTTCAAAACATATAACACGCGTTAGAGTAATTAAATATTAAACCCTCATTCCTCTGACGACTTAAGTTTTTAGAATAGTTGAGAGTTGTCCTATAAAATCTCACATGATATCATAGCCAAAAGGTTCCAAATTCAAATCTTTCCGGACCCTATTTACCTTCCAATTAAATATGTCCACGAGTATAAAGCAAGAATGCTATATATTAAACCCCGCCTTCTTTCTCTATTAGTTTAAGCTTTTAGAATTGATCAGTTAGCAGTGGTTCCACAAAATCTCATACACCAATGCATATTGATTTTTTTTTCTCACTTATATTTCTATAGTTTTAATTGTTGGAATTATCTTTTATTCAACAAACGGGACGAAAAGTCAATGCAAACTTAGGGCGCGAATGACAATTATTCTGTTTCAGAAATCAATTTCTGGACAGAAATATATTTTTTATTTCTATTCCTTGGATGAGTTTCTGAGCAAAAATATGCGTTGATAACGAACACAAAAATTTTGTTCCCGAAATAAAAAATTTATTTGATAACGGCACAAAATTTCTCTCTCTTGGGTGACCGGCGAGTGGACAGCGGGCGGACGGCAGACGGCTGGAGGCGGCGGCGGCTAATGGCAGGAGGCCAATGCGGAGGACAATGGCAGGAGGTTGCTGGTGTCGGGCAACGGTGGGAGGCGGGCGACGGCAGGTGGTGGCGGGCGGCGATGGGAGGCGGACAACGGCGAGAGGAGGGCGGCGGTGGCCCACGGCGGGAGGCGGCAAACGACAGGTAGGTGGTGGCAAGAGGGTCGTGGCGGCGGGAGGTGGCCCACAGTGGCCGATGGATGGCGGGAGGTGGGCAGCGGACGATAGGTGGGCGATGGGGGTGGGCGACTGGCTAGTAGCGGGGATGAGCGATGAGAAGAGTTTTTATTTCTCATTTTTGTTCTAAAAATAGAAAAGTATAAACTTTTTAGATTTCAGTTCTGTTTCAAATCTATTTCTGAAATTAAAATTTGTTCCAGAAATAAAAAAATAAAATTACGCTACCAAATGAATTTCTATTCCAAACCTATTCCCGGGAATAGAAAAATAAAAAAATAAACAAAAAAAATGGTTATCATTCGCAGCTTTAAAGCCACGTCAACTTTGAGCTTCCTATCGAAACGTCGACTTGATGGGACGAAGACTTACCTAATGCTTGCCCATTTTGAATATATTTTGACACATGGCATAAGCTGGTTCATTTCTCCTATATTCCTAATTTTCACCCTCCATTTAGACATAAAATGATTAATTTTTTTTGTACATAAATTAGAATTTGTATCTCGGCAGAAAAGAGATATAGTTTTTTTAAGTTCGTTCTTAGTTTTTAAAGAATTTTTTTTCTGGTCAGAAGTTAAATAAATAGTTAATTAATTTTATTACGTATTTCCATTCTAGTTCGAGTGCAAAAAGCATATTTTTATCATGATGTCGAATAGATAAGATTTAGTAAAAATAATTTCTTTCTCGCACGAAAATGGTCTTGGTACTTACCGTACTCGTAACAGAGTCACATGAGCTCTGGAATGGGAAATCACGTGCAATTGAAACGAGGGTGAAATCGAGTCAATTTACTCGTGAAAAAGTTTGGTACACTTCGATAAAAAAAAAAAAGTTTGGTACACTTCAATTATTACTCAAGATTGACGATCCTAATTTCTAATTGTGCTCGAGTTACTCTAAAGTCAACTCTCATCAACTCATGACCGCGCCTTTAGTACCTCCCTCTCTCACTCTCGATCACTTCTATTTGCGTGAAATTTGGTGGGACCAGTTTCATGGACCCATGTGGTCCGGTTTCCAAATGGATTCATGAAATCAATATGCGGTTTTCTATTCCAATTTCTTGGAACCGGTCTTTAGTGGGCGGTTCCCGGTTCCATGTTGGGACTCAAACCACGCTCACCCCTAACTTAAATATCTTCTCGCTATAAGTTTGGACTCGTCAATTGTCAACTCAATAAACTTACAAACTTAATCGAGCTTGTAATATATTTTTTAGGAATATTTAATTGTTGCAATGATAGACACAAAAATTAAACTCAAGCTCAAGCTCGACTTAATTCACTAGTAGATTATGGTTGAGTTGAGCTCGAACATGTCATGTTTTTTGTCGAGTCTAGCTTTAGCGACGAACTTAACACCCCATCGACTCTAATGGAATTTCAATTGCCAAGCATGTCGGTCAAGTCGAGCTCTACCTTAAAATCGGTACGAGATGAAATAAGGTTCGGAGTTCAAATCCTTAGATCGACAAAATTTACGAAGCTGAAATTATGGTGCGTTTGGAAACTGTTTTGCCAAGAGGCTTTGGGCTCTAAACTCCCCTCGGCAAATGCAAATTACCGTTTGTCAAATATTTGGAGAGCTGCGGAGATGCAATGACCTTTAGTCCATGACAGGTCCAGAGCCACTTTAAGTTTTGAGCATTTCCGAATGCATATAGCTTTTTTCGCTTCCAACTTTGCCATCATTGAATTTTCATAATTTTAGAAATGTCCCTACCTCATGCAACATTACCGGAAATGATTCAGGTTGCCGGCGGGCGACTGGCGATCCTACGGCGAGGCCAAACGTGGCTACTAGCCAGCCAGATTTGGCGCCGACAGCCTCGCCTGGGGTTGCGCGGCCTCAGGCGAGGCTGCCGAGCGTGATTTTTTCCAAACTCCATTTAAACCAAAGTTATTTCCCGATACACTTTACAGCTACGAATTATCAACCACTGCTTCCATTTCGAAAAAAAAAAAAGAGGCTCTTTTAACCTAAGAAGGCCTCTGCATTTTTCCGAAGATTTTCCCCCAGGAACCGAACTAAAACGCGCACGTTGTTAAGTATGCTATTGAATCATCATGAATTGTCAAAATCACTCTCTGGTAACCACAGAGTACAGAGAAATCTGCATAGAGACAAAGGCTAAGCAAAAGAAATTCAAAAAGGGAAGGAGAGAGAGAGGGGAAGAGAGAGAGGGAGAGAATCTGTGTTCCTCTCTCCTCCAAAATTTCAAAGCAAAAACTGCATCCCCCTGCCAGCCTCTCTGCAACAAACCAGCTCATCCCCCCCCCCCCCCTCCCGCCCACATCACCATCATCACACGCCCCCATCAACCCCCCTCTCTCTCTCTCTCTCTCTCTCTCTTACAAGGAAGGAAGCCGCAATCATTCCCCAAGTCGCCATCACGCTCCTTCACCATCCTCTCACTCCCTCGTAAAACCCAGTCGCCGCCCCTGTTGTCTTCCCTCCTCCCCCGCGCGCGCACAAGCTTCCTCCGTCCCGATTCGATCGCGACGTCACGCCGCCGTCGAAGCCGCTCTCCGACGACGGCGGCGCCGCAGCCGAGTCGCCCGCTTTGGGATTCGCGCCGGTTTCCCCCCGCGGTGAGCCCCTCCCCCCCCGCACCCCCATGGCCTCGTTCTCTTCGCTCCGTCTCGCCGCTTTCATGCTCCGCGTTTCTTGTTTCCTTTGCGTCCCGTCGTGATGTGGTTGGCGCGGGTTCCTCGGTTGGCGTTGCGTTCTTGCGGCTCCCTCGTTTTCTTGGCCTGGACAATTCGAATATGGCAAAAGCTGGGGGGGGGGGGGGTGGCACTATCTTTGACTTGCCTTTTCGGTTCAGCTGCGAATGCTGCGTCTTTTCGTCCAGTTTTTTTATCTCGTCTTTTCCGCGCTTTGAATCTCTCCGGTCCGCTTTGCTCCGGGGGATCTGCGTTTCGCTTTTCCTGGTGGAATGTGCCTTTCGATCGGCTTTCTCGTTGCTGTTGCTTTTGCGGTCTCTATGCTAAACTATCGGCAAATGCGATGCCCGTGAATTTGTATTTGGCTAGTTCTGAAGAGATTCTTGCTTACAATTTTTTGCATATTGACGGTGTCCTGTTCGGCTTCCGTTGCTGAAGGTTTCTTCGACCATGAAGGAGCGCTTGGAGAAGTGACGCTATCCCCTCGGTTTCCCTCCCTTGTGCTATTTGAATCCCGCGTGTTTTCTCCGAAGCGGAAAAACTATGTTGTGCGCTTGCTCTGGGGAGCAGTTCAAATTCGAGGATCCGCCCCAGTCGCCGCAGTCCTTGGCTACGAGGGATTTCTCCGCAAGCGGTCTTTCGTCGAGGACTGGCGACTGGGATTCGAAATTCGAGGATACCCAAGTTGATGAAGTTGAATCTACTCTCAAAGAGGCTCTCTCATTGAATTATGAGGTGAATTCGATATTCTACATCACTGTAATCCAATGACTGGTCATGGGTATATTGATTTTCGGTAATTGAATTGAGTTTTGCCTTCATGTGTTTTGCTTTAGGAAGCGAGGGCTTTGTTGGGGAGACTAGAATATCAAAGAGGGAATTATGATGCTGCCCTTCAGGTCTTTCAGGGCATTGATATCAAAGGCTTAATCCCACGGATGAAAAAGGCTATTACAGAGAGGGCGCGCCCGAGAAAACCCCGTTCGAGAGGTGATAATGTTCCTGTAAATGTTTTGTCCATGCATTCCGTCAGCCTGCTTCTTGAGGCAATCTTGCTCAAAGCTAGATCTCTGGAAGGTCTTGGGCGTTACATAGGTATTGCATTTTCCCTTTCCCTTTTGATGTTGTTGATGTATCTTCAAGTCTATTCAAGAAGATGTATCCGTTTCCAGCTCAGACTACAAAACTCTCTTGGATGCACTAAGCATTGATACTCCCAGACCTTCTCAAATCTCTTCTTTATTTTTTTTGCACGATTGGGTAAGTTGTGCAGTTTAGTAATTGAGAGGATGTTTCATTTGACGTAATTGAATTTGTGTAGAGATTTGAGCTACAATAATCTCTGTAATTATACAATGCCACTGCGTACAAGTGGAGATAGACTTTTGTTTTTTTGCTATGATTGTTCAGAATAACTATATACTTCCCCTTCCACCAGAGGCTGCAAAGGAGTGCAAGATAATTTTGGATACAGTTGAGTCAGCACTGCCTAATGGGATGCCTGAGGGGATTGCTGATGATTGCAAATTGCAGGAGATGTTTCACAAAGCTCTAGAGCTGCAGCCTGATCTTTGGATAAAAGCAGGCTTACTTGATGAAACCATTGCTGCTTACCGCAGAGCTCTAATGAGACCGTGGAACCTGGATCCTCATAAATTGGCCAATGTGCAGAAGGAATTAGCTTCCATATTACTTTATGGTGGGATTGAAGCTAGCCTTCCCCATCAATTACCGTCATGGGCCCCAACTGCCCCAAAAAGTAACATAGAAGAAGCCATCCTTTTGCTGCTGATACTCATGAGAAAGGTGACATTTGGCGAGATAGGTTGGGATGGTGACATCATTGATCATCTATCCTATGCTCTCTCAGTCACCGGACAGTATGAATTATTAGCAACTCATTTTGAGCAGGTCCTTCCTGGGGTATACAGTCGAGCAGACAGATGGTACTTTCTGGCACTATGCTATGCTGCTGCTGGACATAATGATACAGCATTGAACCTTTTAAAGAAGATTTCTGGTTCTTCAGAAGCGAAGCACAAGCCCCACATTCCTTCCCTTTTGTTGGGCGCAAAGCTTTGCTCCCAAGGCTTGAAGCATGCAAATGACGGCGTAAAGTTTGCGCGTGAAGTCATTGAGCTTGGCACTACTTGCACAAAGCATTTCTCGAGTCAAGCCCATAAATTTCTTGGAATCTGCTATGGTAATGCTGCGCGAGTATCTGTTTCTGATTCAGAAAGAATTCTACTGCGGAGAGAGTCTTTGAATTATCTAAATCATGCTGCTCTTTCTGGAAAGGACGATCCAGAAATATTGTACAACCTTGCACTGGAAAATGCTGTCCAAAGAAATCTGGAGGCAGCTTTTGAGAGTGCATTGATGTACTCAGAAACAGAAGCGGGAAACTCTGGAAGATGTTGCAAGCTATTAACACTCATACTTTCTTCGGAGCAGCGATATGCTGATGCTGAAAGTGTAGTTGATTTTGCTTTGGATGAAGCTGGAAGATTGGACCAACTAGAACTTCTTCGGTTGAAAGCTGTGCTTCAGATAACTCGGGAACAGCCCCAGCAGGCAATAGAAACCTACAGAATCTTGCTAGCTCTGATTCAAGCTCAAAGGGAAATTGAAGCAAAGACTTCAGATCAAGTGAAACAAGTTACCTATGAGGTGTGTATTCTTAACAGTATTCCTGGATAATCAATGCACCTCCAAGAAGAGATAATCATCTTTTGATGATCAATTTCTGATCTTGATTTTATATATATAACTGGACTAATCAGGTATTTGTGTAGTCCTTGCATTTGGAAGCAAGCAGTGTTTGCCTTGAATGATAGTAACTCAACTCAGTTATATTAGTTGTCTTGGCTTTTTTTTCATTGATATTTATGCATCTGCTCGAAATGTTATTTTCCTGGAGTTGCTATAGACGACGTCCATAAAGGATCTTGCTTGACTTCCATTGGTAAACTTCCACTGTTCAAGCTATTACTCTGTAGGTTTCCTGTTCTCTTCATTGTGAGTGGTTTTCTCGGCATGAATCTACTAAGAGAAATATCAAACTGAGAGGAACGATATTGTGTACTGATATCTATTTTGTCTGCCTCTTCAGGCACAAGAAGAAAGAAATCTGGAAATTTCAGTTTGGCAGGATTTGGCCCTTCTTTATGCTAAACTTGGTTCATGGGCCGATGCAGAAACTTGTTTGGAAAAAGCCAAGTCAATCCATTTCTATTCTCCTAGAAGCTGGCACACGACAGGTAAGCTTTCTGTTTAATGTGGCATAAAGGGCTAAAAGAGGGGTGCTCATAAATCTGACTCTGTTGTTGCCTTCCATGAAACAATTTCAGGTTTGGTATTTGAAGCTCGATCATTGTACAAGGAAGCTCTCGTCTCCTTTTCGCTGTCCTTGTCGTTGGAACCAGATTACGTCCCTAGCATTGTTTCAACTGCAGAGGTGCTGATGAAACTCGGATCCCATTCCCTCCCCATTGCAAGAAGTTTCTTGATGAACGCATTACGCATAGAGCCCGTGCATCATGAAGCATGGTTCAATCTTGGGAAGCTCTCCAAAATGGAAGGCTCCCTACATCAAGCAGCGGAATTTTTCCAAGCTGCATATGAGCTGAAGCTGTCAGCTCCCGTTGAAAACTTTGTATAGAGATCTTTCCATTGTTGAGGGCCATCACCAAAAGCAGTACGCGAGAGCATACTACATGACAGCGGAACTGTTGGCCATTCGATTTACTGCTCTTTACTGGCCTGCCAGATGAAATGGCATCGCAATCCCATCTATGCTGGAGTTCATACTTCATTGTGCTAAATTGATGCTTCTCTTGAAAGAATTATCTGTTGCCTGCAACTAATGCGTACTTACATTGTAAAATAATACTCATTGCAGGTGATGGTGGAATTGCTGGCGATGAGTTGATCTAGAAAACCTGTTGACTTTATTGTAATCATGTGCATTCTTTCAGTTCTGGTTTCCATGCCTCGGTTAGTTGAGGTCGCAACTTGCAAGCTCGTAGAAAAAAAACTGCAGTGGCCCTGGCAAACTTCCAGAAATTCAACTGAAAGCCGTCCCTTTTGGGTGTCCTGGCTTCAGAACGGAGTTCTTGCACGGGTCAGTCACAGAGCGCAAATCACAGCTGTTAGGAATATCTGAGGCCCATGTGGGATCTAACTCATCAATGGTTGAGATGCATCTGGTCTATGACGGACTGGATCTTTTCCTATTGAGAAAGAGAAATAGATTTTAGACAGCCTCAGTAGAGTCGGAAACTATGCGAGATGACCAATTCCTGCACTACAGGCTTTGTAAACTGTCGATGATGAGCTCTTTTTTCATTTTACTTTTCCGAATTTTTCTGGAAGTGATCAGCAGTCGACGAAGAAAAGCTAGTGCATTACTAAGCAATAAACCATCGGCCTGTAGGGAATTTCTAGCAGCACCCGTACATAACAACAATCAAACAAACCAGTCGCCATCCCTGCCACGCCATGGAAGCATATCTGGAGATTTCTTAAACTTTTGTTCCCTTGCAGAAAAATTGTTGTCAACGTTCGAAGTTTGCTGAAGTTAACTCTGGAGAGCAAGATGATCATATCGGACGCTCGGCTATACTGTTGAAAATGTTCATCAATTGAGGGACAGGAGTTCAAATGCTGTCACTCTGCCATGGACTAATTTTGCCTTTGAACTCGGTGGTAGTGTCAAAGATAAGTATGATCCTCAGACGTGAGGCATGCAGAGACCTCAAGCGCCATACAGGCATACACCATGTCTTACAACTTTTCATAAGAGAGATCAAGATAAGTATTCCAAAGGCCCAGAAGCACATTGCCGGAGCAAAGAACATACATTTCTTTTTCATCCAGCATCTTCCAAACAGATTCAGAATTTACATACAGCAAAATTCCACCAACAGTCAATCCAAATAGATTCAGAATTTACAGAGAGCAGATTTCCACCCGTGCATAATTATCATTTACAACCCCATAAAAGAAAAAAGAAAAAAAGAAGAAGACAATTATGATAATAGTAAACAAAAGCTGGAGGAAGAGACCAGGACTGGAAGAGATTAAAAAAAATCACATAAACTCGCCGCAGCCTGGATTAGCCAACATCATGCCTCAGCCCATCGACCACTGCACCAAAGGATGCACCAAGAGAAGAGTCAGAAGCACGTGCTAAAAGTTTTATGTTGTGCTAAGGAATTAAACTATATCTACAGAGGCAACAAAAAGTACATTGTTCTCTATGGAAAGTGCAATGGCTGCAAGACAACCATCGAGACAAAACTCTAAAAATGAAAAGTGGAAAGGATATATTCGATAGAGAGAGAGAGAGAGAGAGAGAGATGATGACGACAAAGGGCCCGTAGATCAGTTATAATTTGTTGCAGTTGACGAGTACATAATTAAGAATTGCAAGCAGCAAAGAGCAAGATTATTGCACCACAACCTTAAGAACTGGTTCGCCTTTATTGGTAGCTGCGGATTGCTTATTCATTGCCTGTAACTGCGCGCGTGCAGCCCTCCCTGCTGCGGACTTTTCAAATTCTTCTTGCCTGAAATGCAGAGCAATACATTCACCTATGAGGAATAAAATTTGGAGAACAGAACAGAAGCATCAAGTAGATTTGCCATTCTTTATCCCAAGACATATGCCGACACTCAAGTAAGGAAAACCTTATGCTCTCTCAGGGTACTTCTCTAGAACGCAATATGCAATTGCTGTTAAAATATTCAATTTGTTTTTACAGTCTCACAATATCACAATGATATGTTTAGATATAAAGCTCCATTTGATGACTTGACGATGGTCCCACTTCACACACAGAAACAGAAAGTTCTTACACCTGTTCAGATTTGCTCAAGCAAAGTTGTCAGCAAATGAACTCAGGATTACTGTCAACAAGGAACAGGGCAAGCTGGCTTCGACAAATCCAAAATCATATGCAGCGAAAACTAAAGACTCCTGAATGTAGAAAAGGGCGAAAGTCGATCGGTACTTGAGGTTCTCAAATGTCTAGCGATCCTTCGCGATCTACCGAAACAAGGCCCCTACTTATCGAGTCGGTTCTGGTAAAGGCATAGGAACCGGGGCCATAAGGTGGGGCTCAGACTCGAAAAGGGCCAAAGTGCAGAAATTACAGAAGAGCTAAAAAATGCAATCCGAATGAACGAACACCAACTGAGGATAACAAAACATAGCTCAGATAGAAATACATAACTAGGGTTTTCCAGTTACACAAAGGCGAAAACTAATTTCGTAAGCTACAAATCAAACAAGAAATGGCGACAATCTCCAGAGAAGCTGATGAATCCCGCGCACGCAACAAAAACCCAAGTCAATTCATTCAATTCAAGCGGCAACAACCAAGACACGGTTTCATTACAGGGGTGGGTCGACATTAAACCTGGGAAACGATCCTTAATTCGAACAAAATCCTAATCGAGCACGACGAGAGCATTCACGGGCAGAGACGTGATGACGATGCAAACCGACTCAAACCAGATTGAAGAAGCCAAAGAGCCAAAAAAAAAAGAGACGGAAAGACGGAAAGACGAATCCAATTGCGAATCGCGTAGCTCCACGAGAACGAATCGATCGATAAAGAACAGGTTAAAAAATTATCGGCGGAGCGGTTCTTGCAGCCGCCGCAGAGAAACGGGACGGGAAGAGAGAGCTCGCCTTCTCTGGGCGGCTTCGGCGGCCTTGGCGCGGGCTTCGGCGGAGGCCGCCCGGTCCTCCTCTCGCCGCCGCTGCTTGCTCCCTCCGTCGAAGCACGCGCACCAACCCATATCTCCCCCTCTCCGCCCTCCGGAGCCTCGCCGTCGTAGGCGAGATCGCCTGCGCTGTATGGGACACGAACCTTCTCCCCCCCCTCCTGATTCGTCCGTCTCTCTTTCCTCGGGAATTCCCACATCAGTGTCTTTGTCTGAATCTCGGCGCACGCGTCTTCCGACGGTGGGCCCCCCGCGAGGCTTCCCGCCTATCGCGGGCCGCCACGTCGTCCTCCGGAAATGCTCCCCCGTGGGAAAAGGCCATCCTTCGAATGACATGTTTCCGCACCGACCAAAAAAATTATTATTTTTTTTACATGTTTCGCCGGCAGCACGTCACGATGCTATGCATCTTCACATCCTTTTGTCTCGTGTCGTTAGGAATATCCCTCGCGACATCCATTTTTTTTGCAATGGTGAAGTTTGAATTGAGAGTCAGCAAACGGATCCGTCCATATTAGATCGAACTAGCCTGTTTTGGACTATTTCTGAAGTCACCGATCTGATTTTCGATTCCATAAAATTGAAATCGGTGAATTTTGATCCGGTTCATGATTTTAATAGTGAAAGTGCCAACCCGGATTCATTATTATTATTGTTTTTAGTTTTTTTTTTTTAAATTTCTTTTATTTCGTACAAATTTGAGAAAAAAAACCTTACTCGCTGCTCACGTTCTACCTCCTTAGCCCATGGAGTTAGCTTCTTAAAAATATGAAAAAACCCTCACTTGGGTCAATCCCCAGTCAAGGACACATATGCCCTATCTCTCTCCTTCTTTCTTAAAAAGAAGAAGAACGAATTCCTCTCTCTCTCATCAATCGCGAATTCGAATAGAATCAAGGCCGAAGCGCGTCTGCAGCTCAGCTTCGGATCACTGGAAATCTCCAAAATATGTATGAGCTTTTGCAATCTTTGTGAAGCGTGTTTTGTGCAGTTGTTGCTGGTTTGCTAGTGGTGGTCGATAGGAGCCGTTATGGTAGACGAGGGAGGAGTGAGCTCCGGAACTCCCGAGGCGGAGGGCGGCTGTTCGGGCGAGCTCGGTTGGGAAAGGCCCGCCGTCGAAAACCCTAGCCGCGACGCCCTCCACCCTATCGTTGCAGGGTGATAATGATCGGTGCGAAGGTGAGTTCCGAAGCCGTCTTGAATGGAAAAAAAGAGAGGAAGATATGTGTGAAGGGAACCAACAATTCCATTTATCCACCCGGAAATCGGACCGAATTGGTCGTTTCGGTCCCGTTCGAGGACCATATGGTTCGGTCCGGTCCCCATGCTAAGGAACCAATCATCATCTCAACATCGGTCTTGAAAATTTTTATTTATTTATTTTCTAGCCGATATTTTTCATTTGCCCTTATGTTCTTGTTCAATGTCAATTTAGTCCTCAAAATTTTAGTTTGTTCAATTTCCATCCTCCTACTATTTTTTTAAAGGATTAATATCATACAAAACCCCAAACTAGTACACTTCTGATAAATTTACCAAAAATTCATTTATGGATCACCAAAAATCCCAAACTGGTACATCTATGACAAATTTACCTCCGTTCGTTTCCGTTAAATTTAACTGTGAAATTGTTAAGTTGGATGACACGTGACAGTTGGCGGATATACCGATTTGGGCCTCTGTTTATCACAGGTGAACCAATTAATCCAATTTAACGGAAACTAACGGAGGGTAAAATTATCATAACTATACCAGTTTAGGATTTTTGGTGGTTAAAAAATTAGTTTTGGGTAAATTTATCACATGTATATTAGTTTGAGATTTTTGGTGGTCAAGAAATGAGTTTAGGGTCTTTCGTGATAGTAAGTAGGGTTTTGTAAAGGAACCGAGAATCGCCCGGACCACCCAAAATTGAACCAGGCCGACGGTTCCCGATTCCAATTTACCAAAACTAGTGGGTACCGATCCGATTCCCGGTTTTAGATGTGGAACTGCCCACCTGGACCCAACCAGTAATATATATAATTTTTAAGAAAATTTTCCAACCAAAATTTTTTTTTAAGAAAATTGAAAACCCTAAAATCCCTAATCTAAAGCTCAATGTCCATCAACTAAGTGTTCGTTTCGTCTTACTCTCACTTTGTCTGAGTCGTCTCTCTATCTTTCGGTCATGATCTCAACTCTTAAGCTTATCACCCATTGACTCACGGCCTTGACTCTCAACTTCTATCAATTCACGGCCAAGTCTCCGGCTGTTCATTGTCTCCGACCATTTATTGCCTCCCTCTCGCAGTTTCGATCACCTCCATTTGCGCGAAACTTGGTAGGACCGGTTCTATGAACCCACCCGGGAATCGGACCGGACCGGATTGATGGTCCGGTTCTCGAGTGAGTGGTTCCCGATTTTATGGTGAAAATCACTCACCCGGACCATGCTCCCCGCTCATATTAAGCCTTTCTTAAATTACAAGAGGAGAGGCGTGAAACGACTCGTTTCGAGCCGGGTCGTCCCCCAAATCTCTCTTCCTGCGTCTCCTTCTTCTTCGTCACTTTCGCTGCGAGCAGAGCGCGAATTGCTACTGCCCCACCACCGCCACCTTCTTCATCGGCTCCCCCGGAAGCTGCTCAGGCTCGAGAAGCAGCGGGGTTGACAATGAGCTCGAAGACCTCCGACGCGGCGTCTCCGCTCGATCCCATCCCCATAGACGCCTCCCTCACGCTCGTCCCGCGCGTGAGGCTCACCCTCACCGTGCACCCGGCCAGCCCCTCCTCCCTCGCCAAGCCCCTCGACGACTGGCAGCTCAAGAAGGCCCTGCTCGACTTCCTCAAGGGCTCGCTCGCGGCGCCGCTCTCCGTCCCCGACGGCGACCTCGAGATCAGGCGCGTGAAGGACGTCCGGAAGCGGCGGCGCGACGATCCGGTCGCGCACGGCTCGCTCGTGATCCGCGACCTGGGCTTCCTGAGGAGCTCGAGGGGCTCGCACGCGGAGGACAGCGGCGGGGAGGACGGGGTTAGGGTTTTGGAGGAGAAGTACGCGGACTGGAAGAGGTATCTGGTGGAGAAGATGAACGGCATGGATTTGGTGCTTGGAGGCGTGAAGTTCATGCTGGGTGTCGAAGCGCCGGCCTCGGATAGTTTCGAAGGGATGAGGAAGGAGTGGGAGGAGTTTTACGCTTTTGGAAATCGAGGTGGCTAATTTCTCTTTCGGCGCGTGCATGTGTTTGTGTGTCTTTTGGATTGAGAATCGCGAAAATGGCTGTGCAATGCGTTTGCTTTTTCTGTGTACGAGGGTCAGTGTAGTTGAATGTAACGAATGTTTTGCAGGGCATTCGAGGGGAGGAAGGCAAGAGCCGGATACAGTCGTGTTGCGAGGGGTGCCGTCGAGGTGGTTCGCCGAGCCTAGAGTGTCGTCGAAGCCCTCGATGTTGGTCACGCATACGATCTTCTCCACGTTTGGAAGTATAAGGTAGTTTTGAAGTTATTTTCAGAGTAATTCAAGTTGATGTTGAGATGGATATTTGTGTGCTTGGGTTGAGATGTTCAAGTGAGAATGCAAAAGTTAGACTTTGCATGAAATGGTGCTTAATACCTTTTAAGGTTGATATCCTTTATTTTGATGACCGAGGGTATGAGCTGAAGTATTATTATCTCTATCTCTCTTGTGGTTTTTCGCTCTCTACTTAGCAATTTTTCGATGTGCAGTAAAAGATGAGTATTTTCCTTGCATTTGATAGGAATATCAATGTGGCTGAGGACGTCGACTTTGGTCGGGGGAGAGATGAGGATACAGATGGCTTAGTTTCAGGTCTGCATTGCAAGATTGTGGTCCAATTTGAAAAACACAGGGATTTCCACAGTGCTATGAAAGCTTTATGTGGCCGATCATTGGAAAAGGTTTGAACATGGTCTTTTATATGTCATTTAAATTTGGGCTAGACCCGTGTCATTATGCTCCCATATGAATCACTTAGTTGAGCATCTCATGCATCTCCTATTCTGTTACCCCATGATCTTGTTGCATTCTTGCTTTTGGCATGAGATCTGGGCATTTATAAGCTGATCGAGGTGTTCATAGATTGAACCATGTACTTCTTCTGCACATATCTTGAGGTTTTTGTCATTACCAAAAATAGGGGGGGATATCCTCGGATAAATTCACTTACTTGGATGAAGATGATGCGGGTGTCTCTTTTGAAATATTTGCTATAATAAGGGTAAACTTCTTTTGGTCCTGAGGTGAAATAAGACAAGATTGGTTAGTAATATTTATTCCTTTAAGCCTTGGCTTAGTAGCCACACATCTCTCTTGAGATGTGAGAGGTTCAACTTGTACCTCCGGAGGTGGGGGGAGGGAACAAGACTTATCAAGAGAAAGGAAAAAAGGGACCCTAAAACAAGCATCGAACATAGGTAGCACACGGCGAAGTAATATTTATTTTGTTGTAAAGTAACATAAGAATTTTCAATTCTAGAGTACCATTATTTTTATCGTAACATTGCGACTATCAATGTTAATGTTCCGAATTGCTAGTGTACCGTAAAAAAGAACCACAGCATTCCAAATTGCAGATCTCTGATTGAGAAGATAATATATTTTTGTATCCTGTCGTGGACATCTAAAGCATATGTCCTCATGAGGAAAGATGTTTTGCTTAGCAAGTGCATGGAAAGCGCCTTGATGCATGTTTGATGCGCATGCCTTGCTATTCCCTGCGGTATATTTGTTGTTCATAAATATACTCAGATCCTCCTGTTATCTAGCTCAGTTGCTTTCTGCCTTTTTTTGTCATTTCTTGCCTTTAGGGGTTATTACTACCGGCTGAGTTTAGTGTAACTGTCAGCATGCTAAAAAGCATCTTAGGAAGTATAAGCCCTGGGTTTGTACGAGATACTGCTGCCAACTGGCGGATATATGTTTTGATTAACTTCTTTTAATTCGTTACGTGCTCAGCAGTGACTAACATTGTGTGCTCGAGCAGCAAGGATCACGATTGAGAGCTGACTATGAGGTTTCCTGGGACAAGGATGGCTTTTTCCGGAACTCTAGAAGTGAAACTCAAGAGAAAAGCAGCAGGATGACTTCATTGGCATCGGGACCATACAGAAGCGAATATCCGAAACACATTTCTCGCCACAGCCCTGAGAAAACTCGGCCAAAGAGATTCAGGGTGAGTTTTCTTACTCTCGTGTCTATTTTCTTTCGAATTGAGTATTAAAATTGCATGCATCTTCTTGACTTTTTCCATTTTAGCAAGTTTGATGGTCAACAGGATAATTTGTAAATTAAGTTCTTTCCTTGTACCAAATACAGGAATAAGGAAGAGGCTTTGCGTAATCTTATCATCCTCCCGATTCCCCATCTCTACGTGAAGTTGCATATTCTTGGGATTTTGACGATGGTTATCCATCTTTTCGTCTTCTGGATGTAACTTGTAACAATAGCCTTCAGTGCTTGATGAGACATCACCCCAACATGTTTAATGAACGCTCATGTTTGCCATATATATATATATAGTGTAGTCGACTTTTTATGACAATTTACCCAAAAAAATGTATAGTGGCAACACTTTTTTCTCTTCGTCAGTAAATACTCATGGGTCCCTTTGGGAAAGGCTTTCCCAAGCGGCTTCGAGCCTCCAAAACCCTGTGGACCAAATTTTGGTTGTTTGGGAAAATTTTTAGAAACTACCTTGAGGAAAAGTGAGCTTTGGGAAGGCCGAAAGCCCAAGGCATATTTGTTTTTTAGAAAACTACCCTCTCTAATATTTTAATTTTCTGGTTTTGCTCTCGTTATAATTGTTCATCATTTTCTCTACGTGAGGTTGGCCGGTGAGGCCAAATCTAGCTGTGAGGGGCTGAAGACGGGCCGATGTGGTTGCGTGACCTTCGGGAGGGGCCGCGTGACCTTCGGGAGGGGCCATGCGACCCAAACGGTCTTCGGGGTCGTGAGGGTCACGCGGCCTAGGCGGCCCTCGGCAAGGGGCTGCGCTGTGGGCCGTCTAAGGTCGTGCGACCGTAGATGACGCCGCTGACGCTAGATCTAGGTTGCTGGCAGCCTGAGCCCTTCGCCAACTCCGGTAAAGGGTTTGACTTTTTTTTTCTTTTTTAATAAAAAATAAGAAAAGTCCTTTGCAAGAATAATTTTTCCAAATACTATTTTACCCAAAGTTTCTTTACAATGAATTTTTAAATTACAACTTGACAAACTTAATTTGCATTTCAAAAAACTACTTTAACTTAGAATCCATTTGTTTCGCTAAAAATGAATGGGCTGGAAAATATTTTTCTAAAAATTATTATTTGTATCACTTACAAGAACGAACAAATGAAAATTATTTTCATCCTTTACTAATATATTTAGATATAAGGTTTTGTCGATAGTATAAAAATTTCTCAATATCTAATTATTTCAAGCGATACGAGCAATCATTATGAAGAAAATGTTTACTAAATTGCTTATTTTTCGCTAAACAAAGTACCCCTAAAGTCCTCTGCATTTTTCCAAAGGTTTTCCCCAAAATGCTAACCAAACTAATATATCACACAATTTTAGTCTGCTTCTGCTATTAATAGTCGCGAGATGCATTTTCTTAGGGCATTTATGAGGCAAGATTAGCCTATTCGGATGCAGTGCATAAAAGCCTTCAGAGCATGTGATGCCAGTACTCCTGACAGCTCCATAAAGCTTGGCTCTTGCCTCTTGCATACGAACGTCCACCCGAGAATTAGCAAGTGCAAAGTCTTTTTGTCTGAGAAGAAAGTGGCGCAAATGAGACGGCATTCAATTTAGGATTTGACAATGCCGGCCTTTCTCTTGTTCTGCACCTTCTAGATGGTAGCAATGTTCTGCACTGGTCAACAGTTGGTAGCTAGGGACAGGGTTGTCTTTTACTTAAATGGCAATAGATTTGAGTTTTGGATTTCGTGGAATTGGATGACAGAAATAATGTGGTATCCACATTCACAGGGATGTGTTGTTTGCTTGTCAAGGACATATCCGATGCTTGTGGCCAATAAAATCGGGATACGGATTTTGGGATCAAATTAGAGTACTGTGCGGAGAATTTTCTCCATATGAATTGACGGGAATTCAATTTAATCTGATAACCACGAGAGGACACTGACTGAATGTGCTGTCTCGCTTGAAAAACAAGTTGAAGTGCAAAGAACAGCAGGAACTTATAGGAAGGGCCAAGAGGGTAAAGCCAGAAATACCAAGGTAAATCCTCTCGTCCCTGTGGATGGATGCTTACCTTGTTCTGCCATATACACCGATGAATTCCTACAGTTGCAATACTACCTTTGGCTAGAACACCAGCCCTGAAGTCAAGTAATAAGGATGAGTGATTCATGCTAGTGTGACATGAAGGCTACTTCCAATGATTCCTGCATGTGGATCGTTCTCAGTTGCTAGTTCAATGCGGACAGGTATTTGCTTGCTGTGCAAGACGAGAAGGGCGTGTTTCGGTTGCTTCGTCAATAGCTTCAGACTGATGGACCCAATTGATGACACTCTCTCTGCCCTTTGATCGCATCGGTGATTTCGGCCAAAGTATAGAGAACTCTGCAACAGCTTTCAAATGCAAGCTTTCTCTGATGTCTCTTGTTTCGCTTCTTTCCTCTTGGGAGTGGTATTAGATGGTAAATTCAAGAGGATCATGGAGAAGTCCTTCCATATAACAAACGAAAAGCATGTAAATCTTAAATCTTAGCATGAGCAGAAGCTGTCATACTTCTCGCTTTTACAAAGCAAACTACTTGGTTCATGCATCGTAATTTACATTTGAGAGGCACTTTATGAGGACTTGTCCAGAAAGAAGAGCAGGACCTCCCAACAGCCAAGACATAAAAATCGTTTATGTAATCCCTAACCTTGCATGTGATTAAGAGAGTAAATCCCCTTTCTTCTCTGCAGAATGAACAAAATATTGTCTCTATGACCCAATAAAGGGACTGAAAAGTTAGATCAAATTAAGAGTAAATCAAGGTAGTTTGGTCATCTTCACCAGCTTGTACAATGCCCATCTTGATGCGTCCTGCCATTTTCTTCACTGTTATTGCTCTTGGGGGGAGAAGATGCTCCACGAATTCTTGCTATGTTCTTTCTCTCACCCGCCCTCTTGCCAGAAGTGTCCATCTTCTTCTTCTTCTTCTTCACGACAGTCGAGCCCCTTCCTCTCAGTGCGGGAACCATGTACCACCCGATGGAAGCGCACACAATAGCAAATGACCTCCCAAACAAAGCCAACAACAGCAAGATCGTGATCATAGCCAAAGGCACATAGCAAGATGGTCTCCTCCATGAGAAGCTCTTCCTCTTTGCCTCCTCATTCAATTCCACCTTGGGTTCATCCACTGCTTTCACCTCCTCCGGAGACTCGACCATGGTTTCCGGATCACGGGTCGCACTCGCAGTCTTCTTCCTCGCATCACTCAACTCTGCCGCCTTCTTCTCCTTGCTCTGATGATGAAGATCCTTTGACTTCACGACGACCGGCACGAACTCGTCCGAGCTCGACGTGACGAACCGGACGAAGGCTATGTCCCGCGACCCGCTCTGCAGGTATATCTCCTTCCTCTTCTCCTCAAGGTCGGCCACGAGGGCCGAGAACTTGTCGAGCCCCCGGTTCGCATACGGGTTCTTGCTCTCCTTCCCAACATAGCTGTTGCTGCTCCTCCTGAGCAAGCGGTGCCTCCTGGATTTCCCTGGGGATCTAGGGAAGTTGGTCCAATAGGGCTCATCATCTTCTCCTTCTTCAGGATGAAAAGTGCCACAGATGAACGAGTTGAGCATCTTGATATCGGATGTGAATTTCTCGGTGGGAGGACTGAACTGAACTGATGTGGTTTCTGATAGAATGAATCTGGAGTTATGGTTTGGAAGATGAGAGAGACAGGTACTTGTCAAGAGGGGGTGAATTACTAGGACCCAGCAAGAGCCAACTAAGTCAAATAAATGGTTTGAAAAGAGTAACATAGGCATTAGAAGCTTCTTATATGGAGTCTGCGTGGAATTTTTCCCTCCTGGGTTGGGAAGAGATCAAAACTGTCCCGCATTTAAATTGTTCTCTAATAATAAGAATAATGATGAATTGCATGTCATTAATGACCATCTCGTACTGCATATCATCTAGAAGAAATCTCCCGTGCACCCAAATTATATGCGCCAAGAACGACATGAATCGCCGAATAATGAGAATTCTACATGAGGCTGACATGATCTAATGACTAAGATCAATTGAGATCACGTGTTTTCTTTTTATTCGATTTCGCCAGTAAGAATTAGATGGTTCTTGAAGTAGGATGTGGAGATTTGCTTCAATGCCGACGCCAAAAACCACACGTCGACCGCTCACTTGCTTATTTCATTCTGCATAATACCATGCATCCCATTCAAGCATACTACGAACAACATCACGTCTTCTTCATTTGGTTATTTGGCAGCTGGGACGAGAGCAACTAACTCGTCAAGATACCTGCCAGCTTTGACCCTCAATGCCTTTGTGTAAGTATTCCCATTTTTCTATTCTTCGCTTCATAAATTGATGCCTCGCGCTAGCAAATAATTTCTCGAGAAATCCTTAGGCTCGGCGTAAGTGGTCCGCCCGTTGTCACGCCCGATTAGGTGAACTCAGTACGATGCGCGGAAAATTTCCAGGAGCATGTGAGCTCCGGCCCGAGAAATTTCGCGGCATATTTACTTCCTTTTTTTTTTATGGGAACAGTATGGAGAACGCGTGAATTTTACTACCAATCTCTTTCCCCCCTCTCTCTTTTTAGGTGTTGTACAAAGTCTTCACGCCAATAGCCAGAAGCGTGACATGCGCAGCAGGGTAGAAGTCAACTGCGTTCTGCCGGGTCCGGTCAACTCGTGTGTGCAGAATCCGATGAACTATATGAACAGATAAAATATGACCAAGAATATATAAAAAGCGCGGGAAATAGACGACAAAAAAGAGTTCCAAAATTCCGATTCATATTCCGAAAGAATAATGCATGTGATAAATGAAGTTACCATGGTTTTCTAAGCGCATCTCCACGACCAATTCGATAGTCCGGCTGATAATCCTATGCTCCGTTGAGATCTTGTGCTTCAAGATTTTCGGCACCCGTTAAATCCCTATACGATGTAAATCTTTCAGACTGATTAGGTTTCGTCCGTTTAATTTGATGCGCACTAATTAGTACATAATTTCATCTTATCATTTTTTTTTGATTAATATCCCGAAAAATCTCAAACTGGTACGCTTGTGACAAATTTACTCAAAATTAATTTTTTGATCACCCACCTGTGACAAATTTACCCTCCGTTAGTTTCCGTTAAATTTTACCGTCAATTTGCTGAGTTGGATGACATGTATCAGTTGACAAGTATACCGGTTTAGGGTTTTACTTGTCGTTTGTCACAAGTGTACCAGTTTGAAATTTTTTGTGGTATTAATCCAATTTAACAGAGGGTAAATTCGTTTAATGTTTTCTATGATAAAAAATTAATTTGGGGTAAATTTATCATGCATGTATCAGTTCAACGATTTTCGCGATATTAATTTTTTTTTTCAGCTCTCGCACGTAAATTGAGGTAAATTGTGTAGCGGGGGTCATTGACCCAGCCGGCTTATTTTTACTGCATCTAGAAGGTCACTCGGGAGGCAAGTAAATTAATAGACGGGGTCTTAATAATCACACTCCATGTCATGTCAGGAGATATCAAATCCACTGCTCTTCTAAACGGGTGAAACTCGGCGTGGATTTGACCGGATGCGAGTCTCATGTATGAGCCGTACATGATCCGAGGGAAAGTATATAAAAAAAATTATAAATTTATTATATTGATATCAATTTAACCATAAACATTTTTAATTGGATCATTTTAATCGTAAATCTTGGTACCAATTCAGTTCAGCCGGCAAATTTAAGCCGAAAATTATTGACGTGGACTCCGGTCTTCTCGCGTGGCATGGCCGGTTCTGGCGTGGACAATTTTCTAAATTTTTCTTTTTTGAATATTTTTTGAATATTTTTTGAATATTTTTATTTTTTCTTTTCTTTCTTTTTTCGCCAATTGTGGGCCAATGAGGTCACCAGCCACAAGCGAAGTTTGGTCGAGGGCCTCTGCGTCTCGCTGGCTCGCTTAGATCCTGGCGAGGGTTGCGATGCCCTTGCATAGATCGGGTGAGGGCGCGGAGGCCCTTGCTTGTAGGGGGTGAGGGCAACCCTCGCTTGTGGTGCTTGCGGGCGACTAGGCGAGGGTGTCATGATCCTTGTTGGCCACTCCCTTGCCTGTGGCTGGCGAGCCCAAAGTGTAAAAAAAAGAAAAAAGAAAGAGAAGATAAGAAAAAAAATAAAAAAAATAAAAAATTCAGAAAAATAATAAAAAATTGTAAAACTTATCCATGTTAGTATTAGATGTGCCACGTAAAATAGCCTACGTCCACGTCAGTAATTTCCAACCTAAATTTGTCGAATAGACTGAATTAGTACCAATGTGAAAAGTCTCGGGACCAATTTGGTCCAATTGAAATGTTTATGACTGAATTGATACTAATGTAATAAATTTAGAACTTTTTAAATACTTTTCACCATGATCGACGACTATGATTACCTCTGATCCACCAATAAATTATTCAAGATAGTATGTCCCTTCGACATGGGGTTCTCAATAAGGATGACTGTGGTATCCCAACCTATGGATGGCATTTCTTTTTGGGATCCTGGATGAATGGATATATAAGTACAAAATATATAATGCAATTATCTAAAATAATCTAAGATAATTCGAAATAAAAGTGTCATTCTAGTGTATAGTTATTGGTCAGACTGGAAATGCAAGGTATCGGCCAACTAAATCCCAAACCCTACCAAAATGTACTTTTAACTCTTATGAGATGTATTTTGACTGTTGGATTACGTTACCTTAGCAGGCATTTTACCGGAGGTCCCTCGTAAAATATACAAGCAAAACCACAGTAAGGATACTAATAAATTGTTGTTCAGTATTGCTTTTACTGATCAACTTCACTTTTTAATTAATAGAAACATAATATATCTAATTTAGAGCATCTCAAATCAGTTTTCTTTTATCGTGAGGAAGCTCATGCCGTTCAGCCCGGTAGCTTCATGGACCAGCAAAGACGCGAGTCGAAACTTCGATAGGCCGCGTAAATATGCAACGCTGACCGTGATTTTTTTTCGATGATTTCCTAAATTCGAAACGCTATTTTGAATTGGTCAGAAAATTTTAGAAAAAAGATCTTTTCAATTTAGCTTGAAGCCAAACCGAACACTAACTAAGAGTCATCACAACGGGGCAGATTAGCCCCATACAGAAAGTGACTGATGCAGCTATGCAATATAATATCTTACACCACACATTACCTGCACTTCTTTGATAAAGTGTACAATTTGATTATCTGGGCTCATCCCAGAACAATGGAAATAACATTTCAATAATCACAAAAAAAATCGATAAACAATCAAACAAAAAATTAAATTCTCAAAAATTAATCATCGATGTCGACATCGGAAGCTCCTTGTTGCAAAGCCAGTGTGAAAATTCAAATAAATTGTTCAAGCTCTAGTATCTAGCGATGTATAACTCAACAGACTCGAAGAAATTGCATCTGCATAGAATTATCATGACAAAGTGCTATTAAGTCATCCACGGTTGACTTGACATGCCATGGCTTAAAGAAATCCGAGTTTACATCTCAATCGAACTTCGCCATATAACAAGTGTAGGTAACAACACCTAACAAGTGTTTTCAAGTCATGCACAGTTGACTTAAAACGCCATATAACTCGAGAAAGTTCAAAGATTTACATCAGAATTCGAACATCTCCATGACAAGTGTGGGTAACAACAACTAACAAGTGCTTTTTAAGTCGTTCGCGGCTTTCAAATTCTACAGCTTCCCATGCAAAGTCATGGTTGAATATTTTTAAGATTAAGAAATCTCACCTAATTCGCATTATACTCTACAAGAATGCCAAAATCATAAGAGTGGGTAAGTTCCCTGATTTTTGATGGGCACGTTGTGCTTATCTGAAGACATTGATTGGAGGAAGATTTGAGGAAGCAATCTCTTCACCTGCATACTCGCAGTTTCCACCTAATGCACATCACAACTTCACCTTCTTCCTGTTAATTAGCATCATTGTCATCATCCTTCATGTACTTCTCCTGCACTGCTGCAACTGTAAGACTCGTTTGTCAAGGAAATCTCACTATATTTATGACATTATAAAAGGGCAATAATGTGATCATAAAACTCGTTCATCATGACATTCACACACCAGACAAAGTGAGTAAAACAATGGATGAAAACCATCATCTGAACTTGGATACTCCTGGAGCAGCACACAAAATTAACACCCACCAAAACTTCTTACACGGTCACATAAGAACTGCAATAGCAAGACTCCGTGCCAAGTGGAAGTTGCATGCCACTCTCCATTCTAAATAGCAGATACTTGGTCAACTGTCACATGGTTTTCAACAATAAATGACCTAACTTCATCCCAGAACAAGCCAATTTCTTCTCTCCATGCATAGACCCATGATTTCCAATATCATTTACATGGCAATAGCAAATAATATATGATTAAGAATGCAACAAAATTGTCCAATGATCTGCATCATGTCACAGCAAAAGGACGGCCTTTTTCTATAACATGAATATAAGAGAAACATCAAACAGGAACCCCGATATCAGGCGAAGCTCCCAAATAAAAGGATATCTGTAGTAGTCCCAGTCAACTGGACCAATGGCTATCTTGCTGAATTCAACAGCACTAGGTTCCATACCAGCAAATATAAAGCCATTGCTCTTGTCGATCAGCTTCACGAGGTTCCCAACACTTTCTTTATCCTGGAAAGCACCTTTTTAACTTCAGAAAATGAAAGCAAAGAGGCTTCAACTGGAAATTTTCAATCAGATATTGTGTTTCTCAACTCTCTCGGAATTATTCCCAACATATATACCATTGCTCCTAACATGGAAGGCAAGGAAGTGTACCTATACCTGGATATCGAGAGTCGTAAAATTGACGAGACTATAATCTTCTATTACATCACAAAGTTCCTTCGTAAGCTTCCTAGGATAACAATCAAATCAGCTTCAACAAATCAGTAAATTTGGGATCAGTTGGATCCAATACAGTTGATACAAGTCACAGTAACCAATGTGCACCACGAAAAAGAAGATCCGCTCATCCTACTTAGACTCAGTAAAAAAAAATATTGTCATGCTTGGACATACAGGATCTTCAAAATATATCAAAGGAGGTGTTCAAGAGGTTGTGGGATACCCTTTGAAGATACGTGATCAAGTAGAGGATGCAAAACATTCCTTTCTCAATAAAAAACTTTAAGGCAGCAGGAAAATCATCATCACTGCATTGGTATACATAATTGGGCACAGAATCTGATCACTATTTGCCAATGCAAGAATCTACTTAATTACATAGTATGATTCGATGATACAGATAAGGGCACTTACGATCTGATGCCAAATGAAAGTTAAATGCATAACTCCAAATTCAAGGTTACTGCAAGAATGCATGAAAGAAAAGAGAATATGAACTCGGAAGTTCATATTTACACACAACATAGACCTTGGTACTTGCCATTGCACTCCACAATATCACACCTGTACTTTGCAGAGCGAGGATCCTGGTCAAGATGGTGCTGTAGATAGGATAAATCTTGCACATCCGTGTAAAAATCAAGATTAAAAGCTGCAAAATGTCTGCAAACTGTCAGCATTAATCACTGAAATTTACCATCAGGTGAGTAAACTCTATATAGCTGCAGCACCTAGCTTCCCATAGCTCTCAATAAGATCGATCTTAGACAAGATATTGATGTGTGGTAGTTCCAAATGTAGCATTGTTGATAAAGAGAGAAGCAGAGCACTTATATATTTGCCTGGATCACTGCATAGATGGGAATCAATTAAATGCACTGCAGTCAACTGCATGAGAGTGAAAACATGTTTCGCTTAGTCAAACTGGGAGATTTCCCCACAAGCAGATCAAACTGATAAAGTAGAATGTAGTAAACCACTAAGGAAGATGCATACACGGAGGTTCAACTTCTTTACAATTTTCTCTATAACTCTCTTGGCATTTGAGTGAAGAAAAAATAACTCCACCTGGCCAGGGAAATCAAAGAGAAGATAGTGATCTGCAGAAATATTAAGTGTCAGGTATATTATTTGGTGACAAAGTATATAAATAAAAACCAAAACCAAAAATTTACGGAAAAGAGCATGGAGACATTCACAATGGCTTATGCTAGTAGGGAAAGGTGTGTGTGTGTGGGGGGGGGGGACGGGCGGGGTGGTGTGGGGGTGGGTTAAGAGAGAGAGAGAGAGAGAGGAGTGGGGCACAAGGGATTCAGAGAACACACTCAAATGGAATAAGCTACATATGTGCCTTTTATTATAGTATTAAGTAGTGAAAAATATGACCACAAGAGTAGTTACAAAACTAGACTATATTCCAAACATGACTCTCCTCAAAACATGAACCTGCAGTTGATTTACAAAGGTGGGTCGTGAGTGGCAAGTCAAACTTCATCACCCAACAAAATAGGCAGAGCCGCACAGAAACTGTTTGACTTGTCCTTATAAGCAAATCACCCTCCTTACCATGCTTGGTAACCGCACCAAAACAGACAGAGCCCTAATTTTGAGGATGAGAATGAAGGGCTTCTTCATTTAGTTTACAACATTTTCTATACAAGGATTATCTGCATATGCACTCAAAGGGATAAAGACAATAAACACCAATATGGTGAAATATTAGATTTCTTAAAGGAAAATGAAGTTTGAAGAACAATGGTACTCTCAATCAGCAACGAGCTAAGTCAGAGAACCCAAAAACTATGGTTAGAAAATAGTACACGGTTTTACTTTAGTTCCTTATGATTTACTTAGGACAGAAAGTTTTTTCATCATCCCCTCTGACGTGCAAGTTGCCATTTAACTTAATGTAAAGCAAAAAAATTGCAAATGAAGGGCCTATAAACTTGAATACATATAGTGCTCTGTTTACATTGTTGTTTTCAGGGTACCAAGCTCAAAGCAGCTGGATTAACTAAAGTCTAGTATTATTTAGTCACGGTACATTCTCTCTCCTATCAATTTGCCTATCACCCCCGTCATTATGTCGCTATTCCCATTCTCTATTCGACAAGGTTACATTTACCTCACGTTTTTTTTCCAAGGAATGCCCATCTTATACGGGAGTAGAGTGTAAAGCGATATGTTTAATTTACCTCATGAGCTAACTTCTTGCTAGTTTAAGATTTTAAATGAATTAGAGTAATCTCGCATAATTTCTATATAGAATATCAGGAAAATCAATGCATTGGTTAGCATTGCCAACACCGCCATTGCCAAAGCACTAGGATCTCATCCTATAATAGATTAAGATGGCGAACCAGAAAAAGGAACCGCAAAGCAAAAAGAATGCCATATCATTTGGCAGTACATATACATATACAGAAAGCGACATTCATTATCCTAGGATACAAACCTTTTAAAAGAGGTTTCAGCTTAGATTCCAGCCAATCAATGTTCTTCTCTAGGTAATCCATACAGTACACAAGACCTGGTCCAACACAACAAATAAAGGAACGTGAGTGGAAGCAACAAACTAAAAATAATAGTTAAATCACATAAGAAAGGGATCCCCAGGGAAAATATAAAATCTGATTTTCCACAGACGAAGCTGTTATTTTGTGTGTTGTATTTGGAAAAAAAAAACCACCTAGGTGTTGAAATCTAGTTTATAAACTCATTTGCATAACATGTCTAGATGCCTTTGCCGTTAATTACTAAAAAGAGATATCTCTAAAGAAAGTTAAATGGAAAGTACATGGTCACCTCCATTAGGCCCAAGAGAATGCTCCATCATCACGTCACTTAGTTTGATAAGTTCCTCAATATTTGCAGCACATTCATACCTATTCTCATGTTAAGGGCAATACAGTGACAACAATTTCTACTACTTAGCGAAAAACAATAATTCAACGCATTGATAATGCAGGAAAAAAAGGATACGGCAACATATCGTTGGCAGGATCCAAATTGATGACAGCAACTTTCCTGCATGCCACGAGAACTCAAGAATTTCTTAACCAAATCGAATGAAGTGAGCACAAGCATCTTCCAGGAAATGATATGATATGAGCAGCAATAAGAACAGAAACCGCTAATCTCATTCAATTTCCTGTCTCCCATTCTTATAATCTCGCTTTTTCCAAAGTAGAAATCTGGACTAGACAAACAGATAGGTTTTCCACACTGATATAAAGAATCTGCATGGCCAATGACGGTATGATATGTCAAGCACGGAGGACTAAACTTTAGGACAATGCCCCGGATTGTGACAATACATAGCCACATATCATGATAAACAGTACATTGAGTTCTGGTCTCACGTCTACTATCCTGCACTTCCTTGCATGCCAGTGACTTGTACTTAAAACCAATCAAGAGAACACTCCTGTAAACCTTGTGCACTCTATTGCTTGCCGGTGACTTGTGCTAAAAACCAGTCAAAATAACACTCTCAGAACCACCACCATGAGTTTGGCGGTAAAATTATTTTGAAAAAGAGCATACTAAGTGATCACTACAACAACACAGATGAGTAGTTTTGAACTCACTCATTGATTGTTGACAAGTCAAAAGCTAGAAACAGCAAAGGCAAACATGTGACATGTACATATAACAAGTCATAAAAGTTGCGCAACCAGCTAAATTCATGAAGAGTGAACTTTACAGATATCCACAAATAAAAGATCAAACACCACAGCAAGTGTGGAATGCTATAGTGAAGCTTAATATACACATGCGCTGGCAAGCTAGGGACACTCTTTGGAAGATGGCTGTTTTTAACTCCAAAGCTTATAGAGAGCAATGTCTTATTAGGTATAAGAGAAAGCCTTTCACGATGACAAACTAGTTGAAAACAACTAAGACTCAATAATAACTCAGTTTTTCGTGATTGCTATTATCACCAAGACAGTTAAACTATTTCAACTACAAAATGTTTGCATCCTAGACTGGTGTACTGCAGTCAAGTATCACACCGGCCACAACCACCCAAACACCTCACAAGACTGCTGACAATAAGGTAGGAGTGGAGTAAAGTTTCTAGCGGCGAGGAAACGTAACTTGCTCCCCAATATGGGGACACATAAGGGTGAATACTAGTCATCCCAGATCTCAAAAGGAATATATATCCAAATTCCAAATATAGATGAAGAGAACATACCGACACAAACAGAGAGTGAGAATACCTTCCGATGAGTTGGAGGAACTGAGACATGCCATTACAATAGGTAGTCTTTCCTGATCCTGGTGGACCAATAACCACTTGCCCAAACACCATCCTCTCTCTCTCTCTCAACCTCTTTCTCTGCAGGTAAAGTTTTCCTTATCTTAAAATGAAATAACAAAAATACGAAATCTACAACAAAGTTCTTTATACATAGTTGTTTCTAATGAATCAAAAGATGATCCCAAATTTGCTCGCTCGTCATTAATTAAGTAAACATTTTTTTCTCATCACCAAGAGAAAGCATGGGTACATTCCAACTATATTAGTCACTAAAAACAAGGCCTGTTTGGTTCATTGCCATGGAATCCCACTCCAAGCAATCAAATTCATTAAAAGGGGATTTCATTTATATATATATTTTGCATCTATTATAAAAATGAAGGGAAGTATCAACGTGAATTGCGAGATGAAGTCAAAACAAGTACAAAATACAACAAGCAAATAGTTTATCAATCCGACAGATACAAAATGGTCGACCAAAAAATTAAAATTAGAAATTCACAGATAGAGAATAAAGAAATGGGTGTTGAAGATTTCTCTATTATGTACATGTCACTGTCCTCTCAAAGAAGTACATCTACAATTCACAAAAGCATTTTCCCAAACACCTCATGCGCAAGTCCACATGCGCCCAATAAAGAGCCAAGTCAAGCCTCTCGCACCAATAAACCCTATCCAGAAACGAGCAAGAATCGCATCCTCTTTCCATTCCTTCCACACACACACACACACAAATCCCTCCCCACCCACCCACCAAATCCAACATCAACCAAACAAGGGCTACCGCAACTCATTTTCGCCTCAGAAATTCGAGAATCCCGCAATCCCCAACGAAGCAGCTACCAAACATCAGGAAAAGGAAAGCTGCCAAAGAAATGAAAATCTGCAAGCACCTCCGCGGCGGCGTAGCGTAAGCGGCGAACCGGATCTTGAAGTCTCGTGAGAGCGCAAGCTAGTGCGACGGCGGTTTCGTGCGGTGGCGCGCCTGAGAAATGGAGGGAGATTTAGGGTTTTAGGGACTGGACCGTATGGTTCGCTTTAGCGTCTGCGTCCTGCAGTTGAAGAGAGAAGCGGAGGAACTGGGACTAACTCGAGAGCTTGGCTCAGTGAGTCAAGTAGGACTCGTCTCGTCGGCACGACCGCCGGTGGCGGTGGCGCGGTGGCGGAGCGGGAACTAACGGTAGCCGACGGATTGGAGATGGAAAGATCCCCGGCCGTTGGATTTGAGCCAAGTTTCACCGGTTGTCTACTTTCTCCTAGGATCGGATGCCCGAACCACTGGAAACTACATCCGGACACGAGCAAAATGAAGTATAAAATGTTGGGATAATGACACAAATGATCCATAAAGTTTGGCCTAATGTATAATTTGGTTCTTGAACTTTTAATTTGTTAAATGCGATATCTAAACTTTAGCCTAATGTTTAATGTAGTCCATGAATTTTTAATTTGTTCAGTGTGGCCCTTGGACTTTTGGTACATATTCAATGTAGTTCCTAAAATATATGAAAATGTTCAATGTAATAGTCCATGATCTTGGACTACATAGTTAAATATAGTTTAATTAATAGAAGGATTACATTGAACATTTTCATATAGTTCAGGACTAAATTGAACATGTACAAAAAATTCATGGATTATGTTAAACAAATTAAGGCTAAAGTTCATGGATCACATTGAATAAATTAAAAGTTAAAAAACTACATTACACATTAAGACAAAATTCATGAACTGTGTGCCATTTTCCCTAAAATGTTTTACACATTTACGAATCGGCACGTGACCCGCTAAAATATGGATGTCGGACAAATTAAAAGTCAAATTTAAGGATGTTTTACGATGTTACCTTTCTTATTAGGACCGGACCATTGCAAACCTTTTAAAACCAATGTAATTTTTTGGAAACCATCTAATTGAAAAGGATTCAAAATTTTCCATATTTGTTCTTAATTACGACGGATTGTTGTAAGCCTTTTACAAAGCCTTTCGCTCGTCGTAATTGAACAATAAAACGTGATGATATTTTTGTCCTTTTTTATAACGAACCATCCTAATATTTCGCGTCGTAATTGAAAAAAAAATTCCAAATTTAGAACGATTTTTAGGACTTGTCCTGATTAAATATCGTAACTCTTTGAAAATCATCGTAGTTGATAAAATATTCAAATTTTATATGTTTTGTTCTTAGTTGTGACCGACCGTGATAGACTTTTGAAAACCACAAAATCCAAGTTTACTACGTTTTTATTCTTGGACATGATGCCTCCTTGTCGTAAACATTTGTAATCCATCATTAGTTTGAAAATATAGGCTCCATTTGTTTCGCTAAAAATGAATGATTTGGAAAATATTTTCCTTAAAATGATCATTTATATCTCTTACAAAAATGAATGAACGAACAATATTTTCATCGTCCACGAAAATGTTTAGATATAAATTGTTATCGATAATGAAAGCATTTGTCATCGACTAATTATTTTAAGCGTTATGAGCAATCTTTTTTAAGAAAATATTTTCCAAATCATTTATTTTTCGCGAAACAAACGGAGCTATAGTTAGTCTTTGTAAATTGCCATCGTTCAAAATTACCCACATAAGGAAGTTTTGTTCTTTGTTACAATGGACTATCATAAATCTTTGGAAATTGTCTTAGTTCTTTTTTGGGTCGAAAAATGGTCTTAATTTAAAATATTCAAATTTGTGAAGTTTTGCTATACGAATCATCACAACTCCTTTTAAAACGTCGTAATTGGAGAAATATCCAAAATTACAACGTTTTGTTCTTAATTGTGACAAATATTCGTAAACTTTTGTAAACCGTCATTATTAAAATTCCATTGTGTTAGTAGAATCCATAAGCAAGAAGAAAAAATTTCTTCTTCTTCGCACCCTCGCTGGATCTGGCAAGGGCAGCCCTTGCCTAGGCAGCGAGGGTCCAGCCCTCGACAGAGCCGGCGAGGGTGGCCCTCGCCGGCCCTGGCTTGTGGCCGGTCGCTGGCGTTGGCGACCTGGCCATGGCCAAGGAAGGGGAAGCGAAAGAAAAAAAGAAAAAAAAAAGAGAGAAATATTAAAAAATTCAAAATATTATTAATAAAAAGAAATTTTGCGCGGTTACCAAACTCATTTCTATTCTTTTTCTATTCCAAGAATAAAAATTTTAGGCAGTTACCAAACGCCTTTAAATGCTTACAAATTGTTCCAGGGCACAAAATAAAAAAGAATCATTTCTGAGCAGAATCAGTTTTCGGGAACAGAATGATTGCCAAACGCACTCTTACCCATCTCAAGCCTTTGGGACTTGCTTTGCTATGAAGCTTTAGCTATGTATCTTTCTTTTTTATCTAAATGAATGAGAAAGGCTATTTCTGACCAAAAATAAATAAATAAAAATTCCAGATGAATGAGGTGACTGTTGCATTGCTATTATTGAGGGTGGGGGGCAATTTCTCGCACGGGTCCATTCCTCAATCGATCACATTGTTGAGAGGCATTGAAGTACTAGATCTTTCAAGCAACAATTATCTAAAGTAGATTCAGGTATTTCATTCCGGCAAATTAAGTTCCGAATTTGTCTAGCAACAATTTTGTCACACCTCATATCTATACCCGGAATTTAGGGAATAACCGGCCATCTTTTGTAGAATAAAGATAAAATTAACCAAAACAAATATTTTTGCATATCGATTAAACAAAGCCATTCGTTGAATGAAAATCATAACAAAGTCCAATATATCATGAATTAATGAAAAACTAGAAACTCTTAAATTCCAAATTAACAAACTTTATTCAAATAGTCTAATGTAAAGTCCTATGTCACCCTGAATCGTTCTCCACATGCATTCGATCAAACTTCCTCGTGTTCAAAAACCTGAAATGATAAATTTTGTGAGGATGGTGGATAAATTACCTCTATGCATTTAGGCGTACTCGGCTGAAACTGTTGCGAGAAATGGACAATGCCTCTGATTATGGTCGCCTTTTCAGCTCCTGCGCTGATTTTTGTAGATGGTGAATGATCGAAGCTCATGCAGATTTTCCAGAGAAGGCACTTTCTTCCCTGAAAGTCTGTTGCTTGCAAGTTGAAGTGACTCTAGGTTTGTGCAATTCGATATTGACAGACGAACCCATCCCTCAAATAGGCTCGTGCCAATTGGAGACTTGGCAGTGTGAAGCCTAAGTCTGCTGGAAGACTCCCTCGTATTTGGTTGGCTCCTACATCGAAGTTAGAGAAGAGAAGAGTATTCAAGTTGGGATTGTACCAGACAAGCGGTTCATTGCTACAGAAATTTTTTGTAATTTCAGCACGTGGCCCGGAACTGCGGGAATGATCTCACCAAAGTTATTTCGCCTGAGGTAAGCCTTCTGATGAAGATAAGTTCCGAGGAAGGCACACTCACATTGAGATTATTTGCATACAAAGAAAACCAGCTTAGCTTCGATAATGAACCAGACGTCTATCGAAATTTCTCTAGTTAGTTGGTTGTATACAAGGATGAGGCCGAGAAGGTCGGAGCAAGCTAACATGTTTTTGGGAATTTCACTGACCAATGAATTGTATCCTACTCGTAAGATATGTAGGCGGCGCAACCGCTTGACATGTGGAGGACTGAGGAGAGATCGACCCAGAGAGTCTTTGTGCTCCCAAGTTCAGTACCGGGACAGAGAGTCCTTGTGCTCCCAATTTAGGAACCGGGACCCTTTGGTGCCTGTGACTGCATGTGCCGCCAAAATCACAGGCAAATATTATTCCCCAAGTTGAGCACATTAAAGGGATCTCCCGTTACTCCAACCTTAAATGCGAGCAGCGCGAGTTTGTCAGTTTGTTTGTGGCAGAGCAGACTCGGTTAAAGCACAGTGCAAGAACTAAACAACCGAGAAGCAAGTTGCATAATAGTGACTCTGCACTAACAAGTTTCATGACTAAAAGGGGATGCGGGTATATATCGAAGCAAGGCGAGAAGAAACAAGATATGTATATCATAAGGATAATGACGTGTGCTGATTCAAGTTACAAAGAGAATGAAGGAGGGGGGGTCTACTGTGACTAGTGCACGGCGACACTAGCCCACACACTCATTTTTCCAATCCACTTTCGAGGGCTTGTGTGGATGTGGCGAATAGGAATCACAAAACGGGGCCCCGGGCATTAACAAACGGGGAGGCAAAAGTGAGTATGTTCTGCAATGCAAGTCCAGCCACTCAATAGATGAATAGCAGACTGGATACTCTTCTGTTGCTCTCCTGAATGATGCACTACTTTTGATTACCACATCGCAGCCCACAGGAATGCGGGCTTGATACAACGAGATGACATATAATTTCAGTTAAATCCTTTTGTTTAGCCACCTTAATGTTCCTCTCAACTGATCAATATATAGTTCAGCTGTTCTTGCCGTTGCTTTTGTGGTCCTTTTCATTTCTTTCAGGATAATCGCGCATTGAAGGTGGAAAGAAGCTGCTTCGGAAGAATGTGTCCATTCAGAACGAAGAAAAACAGTATTCAAAATTCTGTAACTTCTCCATTGCAAATAATCACTATTTATTTAGAGAAGTACGTTTAAGCATATTGGTGGTTAGTAATTTCTTGACGTAGTTAGTAATTTCTGCCTTTAAAAATTTACTTATTCATGTGATTAATGAATCCCCTGTGAAATAAGTGACTATCAATATGTTTATTATAAGTTTCATGCATATGTCATTAAGTGCTTTCCCATAAAAAAAAAGGGCGATTTAGTAACTTTAACATAATGCGGAAATAAAAGCAAGGACAGTAGTAAACTTCAGAAATATTAGTGCTGAATAATTTGCACTTGCACTCCCAGAAAAATCCAATACACTAGAGTTACACTATTCAACTAAAGCATACTTGGATAATTCGTACCACATTCATCAGACAGTTTATAAGTGTTCTTAAATCACCACATGCTAGAATGCTGAATCCAGAAGCTATGCATCCTTAAATTCGCCCTCCAGAGCAACCGCATGGCCTATAGCTGACTAAAGCAACGGCGAGCCATTCCCACTCAATCTGCAGAAACCAAGCTTTATTTTGAATAAGATTTCCAATAACTAATCCATTGCAATTCCTCTTAATGAGTATCATACTAATGAAAAGAAAAAAAAAAACAGAAACCAGACAATTTATGTTGGATTCAATTTAAAATACTATGGAACCAAAACAAAATTCTAAGCAAAGCAACAGTTCTCAAGAATGTGTGTGCACTCTAGGCCTTGTGCTAGTTTAGTTGTGTATAGATACAGATGGAGAATAATGATCAAGTATCATTTTGAGGTAAAAAGAATGATCCATCCTCTTCAGTTGTAGAATTTACCTGTCCGCTTTTGTTTGCTTAAACAACCATAAAGGTATAACAGCTAAACAGAAGCTGTTAGTAGTTCATCTTCTCCATGTAAACCCAGTGCAAAGAGTTTCTCCCTAATCTGTTGCAGCTGATTTGCAATTCCGCTGATGCTCATCCGTCTTCCGGGCACGCTGTGCGAACAAGCAACTCCAATATTGTACACCAAAACCAAACACTCTTGAAATATGCAGTCGCTTTCGAAAAGCCAATGCTGGGGACTATGGTGGCCTAATTGGCTCTCTCTTTCTTGAAGCAAAACGCTGTCTGTAATTTCGAGTACTTGTCCGGGCAAAGCTTTTGCGACAAAACTATGAAGAGTCAAATTGTCTCTGAATACGTCATCGGTGGGACTCAACCCTGTGAACATCTCCAGTAAGAGAATGCCGTAACTATAGACGTCCCCTTCTCTGGAAACCTCGCATCCCATTGCATATTCTGCCATACATTTAGATGATAGTGCAAGTCAAATTGATGTGCCTAAGACTATAAGAGTTATCATTAGCTACCAAACTTGAGAGAGAGAGAGAGAGAGAGAGAGAGAGAGAGAGAGAGAGAGAGAGAGAGAGAGAGAGAGAGAGAGATTACCTGGTGGAGTATAACCAATTGTCCCTCTCAGCCCCACTGAGCTCATATGATTAACTACAGTATCAAGGGATGACCCAAGAAGGAATTTCGCCAATCCAAAGTCACCAACATGTGCGACCATATCCGCGTCTAAGAGGATATTACTTGGCTTTAGATCACAATGAACAATGGGGATGTGGCATTGATGATGAAGATAATCCAGTGCAGAAGCAACACCTATAGCAATGTTTATCCTCCTAACGAAATTCAACTTTTTTGGGAGCTCATTCCCATGAGATGTTGCGTTTGGATGTAGCCATCGTTCCAGGCTTCCATTGTCCATGAATTGATAGACTAAGGCCTTAAAATCATTTCCTTGATAATCATTACCTGAGCAAACGGTTAGTATCTTTAAGAGATTTCGATGTTTGATGTTCTTTAATGCCTCGCACTCCACCATGAAGCTCTTCAGTGCACCACAACGGACTAAATGAAGCACCTTCACAGCAACAACAGTTGCATCGTCCTCAAGTATCCCCCTATAAACAGAACCAAAGCTGCCAACACCAATCAAATTCGTTGAAGAAAAACCATCTGTTGCTTTTAGGAGTGCTCTATAGGACACCTTCGGACGTGAATCATTTATTGAACTTGAAGCTGGTTCATTTACTTTCTTCTTCAACCCACAAAGATATAAAAAAGTCAGGATAAGAGCTATTCCAAGAACTCCGAAAATAATAGAAGCAGACAATATTGCTGTATTTATCTTTCTGTTCTTGGAGCTTTTGGTGATGCAGTTGGGGAGGTGAAATTCTGGCAGTCCCCCGCAGAGCTCATTATTCCCAATAATAGAAGTACCAGTAGCATTCTTAAAGACTCCTTCACGTGGTAGCATGCCTTCAAACTTATTGTACGATAAATTCAGAAGTTTCAAGGAGCGAAATACTGTTAAAAATTCTGAAATTTGACCTGACAAATTATTACGTGAAAGATCTAGTTCTTCGATGCCTCCTAACGATCTGATTGATTGAGGAATGGACCCATGGAAGAAGTTGCCCCCCATCCTCAATGATGTCAATTGAGTGCAATGACCTAAACTGATGGGGATTTCACCTACTAACAAATTGTTCGAGATGTCCAGCGTAGTCAAAGTTCTCAGGTTGCCGACTTCTGTGGGTAGAACCCCAATCAGATGATTATGAGACAAGTTCAGAATGATTGTTAATGATGAGAGACCTATGACCTGTGGAGGAATGGCACCACTGAGATTGTTATTAGACAGTATAAGCACGTCAAGAGATTGGCAATTAGATAGATGGGGCGGAATTTGCCCTTGAAAGTTGTTCCCACCAAGATCTAGTTCGATTAACTTGGTTAGATTTCCCAAAGAAGATGGGTTAGTGCCTCCCAGGTTGTTATCACTTAAGTACAGTCCCCTTACATCTTGTAGAGCCCCCAAATTTGAGGGGATGACACCTGATAACTGGTTATCATTCATATACAATATTTCCAGATTAACCAGATCCCCGATTTCTTCTAGAATTTCACCGGATATATGATTCCCGTTTAACAAAAGTACTTTGATAGTGGTGGATAAATTACCTATGCATTTAGGTAACACCCCGCCAAACTCGTTTGCGTCAATAGTCAAGTACTCTAATCGGGTGCTATTAGTTAACGAGCAAAGGAAGCTCAAGTCTTCAGGTTTTCCACTTCCAAGTTGGTTATCACTGATTGTAAACCGACTAAGCCTATGCAGTTTTTCCAAAGAAGGCACTTTTTCGGAAAATCTGTTATCAGAAAATAGAAGCCAATCTAGCTTCGTGCAATTCGATATCCACAGAGGAATTGGCCCCTCAAGTTGGTTCAAAGAAACTGTAAAAATTTCAAGATCTGGGAGTTTGAGGCCTATGTCTGCAGGAAGAGTCCCCTCTATTCGGTTCTCTAAAACTTCAAACGCAACGATCGAAGAGAGATTAAGTAGTGAAGATGGAATTGTACCTGACAATATGTTTCCTCCAAAGCTAATCATTCGCAAGTTTTTCAGGTGGCCTAGAACTTGGGGAATGCTCCCGCCCAAGTAGTTATGGGTTAAATAAAGTATCTCCAGTGAAGATAAGTTCCAAATGGACGAAGGCACACTTCCAGTTAGATTGTTCCCGTGCAAAGCAAACTCTTGTAGCTTTGGCGTTGAACCGAGCTCTCTAGGAATTTCTCCAGTTAGTTCGTTGTTCCCAAGCCGGAGGATGACCAGGTCCGAGCAACCTGACATGTTTTTGGGAATTTTGCCAACCAGTGAATTGTTGTTTAATTGCAGGATACGCAGGCGGCGCAACCGGCCGAGTTGTGGAGGGATTTCTTGATTGAAGCTATTGTTTTGTAGCAACATCTCCCTCAAGAAGCTGAGATTTCCGATATGAGAAGAGATTGATCCGGAGAGTCCTTGTGATTGCAAATCCAAGACCGTGACCCTCTGGTGCCTGCGGTCACAGGTAATACCATACCATTGGCAAAACCCAATGCTATTGTTCCATGAGTTGAGCACGCCAAAAGGATCTCCGGTTATGCCGGCCTTAAATCCGAGAAGCGCGAGTCTGTCTGTTTCATTGGCGGTGGAGGAGGCTTGGTGAAAGCACATGGTAAGAACAAGACCAAGAAGCAAGTGACATGATCGAGACACTGCAAAACTCATGCTTACGAATTTCATGACTCAAAGCACAAGAAAGCGGGTAGATATGAAAGCAAGGCAAAGAAGTAACAAGAGGCAGGATCGATGCGAGCGGAAACTGTGACGAGATTTATAAGGAGGAGTCGTTTTGTGTGGACAGCTTTTTGAAGCGCTGTTTTTCTTTTTGTTTTTTGTTCTTCTTTTTGTGAGTATCATCAGAGTGCCATGTAAAAAGAAAAAGAAGAAAAAGTATCTCCCAGTCAATAATGAGTATCTTCCCATTAAAATGCAACTGGTGGCTCTCTCTCTCTTAGGAAAAGCGGTCACTATAGTCAATCAATTTGGTCCATTTAATACTTTTGGACCATTATTGGTTTCCGTAGAATTATTTGAAAGGAAATATGGTTGTCATTGTCGGTGGACAGCAATTCGGACTACTTTTCATCAAGTGGGAAGACTTTTCATTTGAAACCTGAAGGGACTTTTTGTCTGGTTACATATGCCGTATTACATGAAGAGAGAGGAAAGTGGAGATGATGATGGTTGATCGTGCAAGACACTGACGAGAGAGAGAGAGTGTTGTATTAATTGGAGAGAGAGAGAGGGTCTAGTGCTTGAAATCTTAAATTTAAATATACATATACATGTGGATCGATCCGGGTGAGCGGGCGGGCGGACGGATCGTTCCACGTTTGAAATCGGGAACCGGACTGGTACCCATTGGTTTCAAGAAATTAAAACCGGGAACCGGACCGATCTCCATGGGAACCGCCGGTTCTGGGCTGGCTCGGTCTGGTTTTGGGCGGTCCGGGCGGTTCTCGATTCTTTTGCACACCTCTAGCTGTGATGTTGATGTGTGCACATCTGCGTGTATTTCGGGGGCCGAAATTGCACGGTCCAATCACAATCCGTGGATCGGAGCCAATCACCGCTGGTCGGTTATGTGGGTTTTCCGCATATCCCACAAATTTCAATGGTTATGATTGCCTGTGATCCATGGGCCATGGTCCATGCAAATATTTCCTGGTACGTTGGGCTGGAAATTTACAAGAAGGTGGACTGTCGGGATGTTTCCTTCAAGTCAATCAGTGCAATGCCCACACCATTACTTCATAGGAAGCTCAAATGGTCATGACTTTGATACTTCCCAGTCAACACTAAAAATTGCCTCGTAAATTACGCCCGAGCCGTGTGTAAAAATTGACCCTTTCATGAGATACTGTCTTGCCAATGAAACTCTTGCTCCATTCACAGAAACACACAAGTTAAATGATAAAGTCGTCTCCCTTCTTGCACGGAAAAGGAACCGAGAAATTTAATAGGTTTGCAATTTGAATTTTTACTCTCAACAGTTTGCAACGGAGGTGTAGAATTCTTGTGGCGGTAAGATACAACTTTGAGCGTTTATATTTGAGAAAATTACCATTTCAATCCTAAACCTATTATACGCATTCTAATATAATCTCAAACCTTTATTTAAATATAATCCTAAATCTTTGCGTGAAATTCTAATATAATATTTTCGATCAATTTTAGCTTGAAATTGCTGACGTGGCATCTAGTCATCACTGGTCGTCCTATGAAGCACGACTGGCGATCTGACATGGACAACTTTTCTCGAAACAACGCCATTTTAGCTTCAATTTCTAATTTTTTCTTTTTTCTTTTTTTTATTCTTTCCTTCTTTCCTACTGTTCATCTTCTTCCAAACTCTGGTTCTCAACAGTGTTTCAGGTACAGCTTAGCGGCATAAGAGTACCAATATAAACATAAGGGAAAATTCCAATTAAGGACCCCAAGTGGGGTCAAATTCTCAAATAAGGATCCAAAGTGAATATTGTGTCAAATAAGGGCCTGAAGTGCCCAATCAGTTTCAAATAAGAACCCGAAGTGCTCAAAAAGTCTCAAATAAGGACCTGGGTCCTCGGCCGGCCAAAATACCCGCCGGCCGGCGAAAAAGTTACTGTTCCGGCACCGGAACAGTAACTTTTCATTTTTTTCTTTTCCTTTTCCTTTTCTTTTTTTTTTTCTTCTCTTCCTCCGCCGGCCATAGCCGGGGCTGGCGGAGGTCGCCGACCTCAGGCGAGCCGCCCTCGCCGGCGTCGGGCGAGGCCGCCTCGCCGGCGTCGGGCGAGGGCCGCCCACCCTGGCGAGGCAAGGTCGCCCTCGCCGGCCTCGGGCGAGGCCGCCTCGTGGCGTCGGGCGAGGGCCGCCCTCCTGGGTTGGGCGAGGCCGGCCTCGCCCGGTTGCGAGCGAGTCGGGCCTCGCCCGGTGGCGGCGAGTCCCGGCCTCGCCGGCGGCCGCGGGGGCCGAGCCCTCGCCGAGATCTGGCGAGGGCTCGGCCCCGCCGGCGTCGGGCGAGGCTCGGCCCCGCCGGCGTCGAGGCGAGGCCGGCCTCGCCCGGTTGCGAGGCGAGGTCGAGCCTCGCCGAGATCTGGCGAGGGCTCGGCCGCCGGCGTCGGGCAAGGTCGCCTCGCCGGCGTGGGGCGAGGCCGGCCTCGCCCAGATCGGGCGAGGCTCGACCTCGCCCGACGCCGGCGAGGGCGGCCTCGCCCGGCCCAGTGAGGGCGGCCCCTGGCCCGACGCCGGCGAGGGCGGCCTCGCCTGAGGCCGGCGACCTTCGCTGGCCCCGGCTGTGGCCGGCGGAGGAAGAGAAGAAAAAAAAAAGAAAAGGAAAAGGAAAAGGAAAAGAAAAAAACAGAAAAAAACAATAAAAAAATGAAAAATTACTGTTCCGGTGCCGGAACAGTAACTTTCTCGCCGGCCGGCGGGTATTTTGGCCGGCTGGGGACCCAGGTCCTTATTTGAGATTTTTTGGACACTTCGGGTCCTTATTTGAGACTGATTGTGCACTTCGGGTCCTTATTTGACACAATATTCACTTTGGGTCCTTATTTGAGAATTTGACCCCACTTTGGTTCCTTAATTGGAATTTTCCCTAAACATAATGAAAGTCCTTACTTGAGGGAGTTTGAGGCATCATAATTAAAATTTCTGCCGCATGCTCATAAGTGAAAAGCAATCTGACAGAATATAGATTGTAAAAGACTTATAGCCTTTCACTTCAAAAATGTCAGTTCGGTGCTGACATGAGTCCCCTCTAGCAACTCCGCAGGAAATTTAAGAATTTGTAAGATCTTCATTCATCTATGAGTATGTATTCAAAATCAAAAGGTGAATGAAGACGGGGGAAGACAGGTAAAGCGACAAGAGTGCTATGAGAATGCATATGTGATATTCCTATTAGTTGCTCAGTTTCTGTCTCCAAGCATAATTGCGCATTTCCGAATGCTAAAAGCATGATTAGTCAAGATGTTGGGCATGCATAACACAAGTTCTTTGAACTGTGTCTAGGCAAGTGCATGTGGGCAAGTGCGTGTAATAAGGGATGGATGATGGATCCATCTAGATGGCTTTTCGGATGTTGACTTGAAGTCAACCAGTGCCCACAAAGTCCTAAGGTCCCCCTAATTTGGAAGATAAACAGAAGACTGATGATCAAGCGTGATTGATTAGATGGTCATTGTTATTAATAAATATCACTTGACTGACAGCTCAATCAGTCATAATGCAACTAGTGGAAAGGAAAAGAGAAAGATTATCTTCCCATTAAAATGCAACTAGTGGTACACTTTTTCTTTTAGCTCCAACCCCACCAACCCAACACCCCCCCAACTTTGGAAAATAATCCAAAGACTGATGAATCAAGCGTGATTGATTGGATGGTCATTGTCATTAATAAATATAACTTGACTAACAACAGCTTAATCAGTTAAAATCATTTCATAGTTGATTGATAAACCTGTTCATCAGTGACAAACAACGTTGTGAGGCATGTATGTGTGTATTAATAGGTCATTATATTTGAATGTGAATAGAAATTCTTCAAGAGGAAAATTAACTTTCGGCCGATTAATAGTTGATAATTTCTTCAAGTGATTAACAAGTTTCATATGAAAATTAGGTTTGTGTTTATACTGAGTGGTGAACTTAAGGTGCTGCTCCGGCAAAAGAGAATTATACTTTTGTCTTTTAACACAGCAACTTTTCACCATGGAAAGTAGGTGAGTGCATATCAATAACTACTAATTATGTTGTAATGAAAAGTGTTATATTTCGTCGGTCCGCCCATGATGTGTGTGTCCAAGAGACATCATTTGCTCTAATAAGAAGTGTGTCTGAGAGAAACCTTTTGAAGAGGTGCGATGAGAGTTTCTTAAGAGAAATTAAGATAACTTCCTCAGTAGATGAACGAGAAATTTAGAACTCTCTCTCTCGACGCATAAGGATTCCATATCTACTTTGATAAGACAATCGGCATTAACGCTGTGAAACAAGAATACTTTCCCCGTGATTGTATTCGGACCAACATGAAGTAGATTCGTTCATCGTTTGTTGGTGATTCAACGTACGATCTTGGAAATTTTGTTCGTAGTGCATCGAACAGGTTAGTCGATTCTCCCGACACTCGTTTCCAACATTGGTATCAGAGCCTCGGTTATGATCTCTGTTTTGTTTTTCCGTCGAATTTTTTCGCTTGCTATTTGATATGAAGATCATGATGATGACCTTCATACTGTCTGCATGTTCATTGCTCGGGAATTGCAAGATGAATCGTCGAACATGAATTGAAACGAAGAACAGGTTTAAAGGTTACGGGTGACCGTTCTGTTCAGACGATTTTCGAAAAACTTTTTACCGTGAAAATAGTTTTTTATTATACATATTTGAAGAACTCGTCGAGACGAGCAGAACGGTGGGTCGAACGTTGTCGGAAGATGCCGGACGCGCCCACATGCGCGGCCAGAAGTCGTGGCGCGTGGGAGCCACGCGCCCAAAGCGTTGGCACTGCCAGCGTGTGAAAACCACGCGCGCGTCGCCAATCGGCGCGTGCTGACGTCATCGATGACGTCAGCAAAACTGTCGGTAACCGACATGCTGACGTCATCTCGCCGGCGATCCCACCTCCGGCGACCTGACCCGACCCTCGACCTGACCCGACCCGACCTGTGATCGGTCAACGGTCGAACCGGTCAACGGTCGAACCGGTTAGACCGGTCGGACCGGCTTAGAAGCCCGAATTGGGCAGGCGCGTGCGCCATATGCGCCGCGCACTTAGGCGGCGCGTGTGGGCTCGTGGGAGGTCCGATTGGAGCGT